GTGGGTGTTTTCACTTATATTCGACGCACTCTTGCACATATCCACTTGCCACTTTTATGGTCTACACAATGATAAAAATAAGAAACCACGCGTGCGCGAGACTGCTACTTCTTGAGGTTACGTTGGTTTTTCCATTGAAAAGGAAAGAGTGACGCAACAAAATATCTCCCTCGGTTAAGAATCAAGATATCAATTCAGTAGGAGGAACATCCAAGTCTTCAATAATTGCACCTACACAAACAAATACTTGGACCCAATGCGATAAAGAGGTTGTCAATCCCTTCATGGTTACTTGCAAGGATGAGATCTGATAGAGATGGATATAAAAGATAAGTAAATTACAAAACAAAATAAAAGTAAATAAATTGCAGCAATGTATTTTTGCGTTTTTGATTTTATAGATATGAAAATAATATAATAAAAGATATACCAGGAAGCCATAGTTTTCACTAGAGAATTCTCTCTTAAAAGAAAGCATACGTTGGATAAACAAATTACTGTTGAGTAATTAATAGAAAATCGCATAGTTATGACGATATCTAAGCAATGATCATGTATATTGGCATCACGTCCATGACAAGTAGACCGACTCCTGCCTGCATCTGTTACTATTACTCCACACATCGATCGTTATCCAGCATGTATCTAATGTATTAAGTTAATAAAAACGGAGTAACGCCTTGAGGAATGACATGATGTGGTGGGATAGATCCAATCAATATGAACAAACCCCATCTTTTTATCCTTAATGATAACAATACAAATACGTGTCATGTCCCCTTCTGTCACTGTGAATAAGCACCGCAAGATTAAACCCATTACAAAGCACATCTTTCATTGCAAGAAAAATCAATCTAGTTGGCCAAATCAAATCAATAGATCGGACAAAAAATACAAAGCTATATAAATCATGCATAAAAGAGTTCAGAGAAGACTCAGATAATATTCATTGATAATCTAATCATAAATTCACAATTTATCAGATCTTAACAAACGCACCGCAAAAGAAGATTACATTGAATAGATCTACAAGAACATTAAGGAGAACATTGTATTGAAGACCAAAGAGAGAGAAGAAGTCATCTAGCTACTAGCTATGGACCCGTAGGTCTGTGGTAAACTAATCACACATCATCGGAAGGGCAGCAAGGTTGACGTAGAAGCCTTCCGTGATCGAACCCCCTCTAGCAGAGTACCGGAAAAGGCCCCAAGATGGGATCTCACGAGGACAGAAACTTGCGACGTCGGATTTTTTTTGGTGTGCCTTCTAGTCTATGGGGAATATTTGTGTATTTATAAAAAAAAGATTAGGGTTAGAGGTGCCACAGGGGCCCACAAGCCTGGGGGGTGGGGCGCCCTCCGAGCTTGTCGCCAATTTGTGGTTCCTCCGACCTCCTTCCGAAGGTTTCTAGGTGTTTTGTGGTGCAAGAAAAATTCTCAAAAAGTTCCATTCCAATTGGACTCCGTTTGATATTGATTTTCTGTAAAGGCAAAAACAAGGAAAAATAGCAACTGGCTCTGGACTCTAGGTTAATAGGTTAGTCCCCAAAAATAATATAAAATAGTATAATAATGCATATAAAAATTCAAGATTGATAATATAATAATATGGAACAAAAAAATTATAAATACATTGGAGACATATTAGAGACAAACACACAATTATTCTTACGCATTAATGCACGCTACATGGACAAACATGTAGATGTCAAACACAACTATAGTGAGCGCAACAGAGGGCGCCATACTATCTAGGTGTGTTGTAATCTTGTACTAGTCAAGTTCTCAAGAAATATGCACCTGTCTCCGAAAGGAATAGACAACCTCCCCAAGCAATACCCTACAATGTATGGTTTTCCATGCCCTTTTTGTCACGTCACTTAGCTAGATTAATGCGGAGCT